CGATCTGATCCGTCAGCCAAGAGGTGACAGCCTTAGCAGGCTTGACACTGAGCTCTGAAACAGACTGGGCCACTAGATTGACTCCATCCAGAAGACGCTGTGCTGCATAGCTATTGTCCTTTAAAAAGCCATCTGACTGCAAAAAGAAGAAAGGACATATTTACATTAGTGAATAAATGGTTATCCATATATGTATAAGTCTAATTCTGTTGGTTGAATAAATAACTAGCTTTGTTACTCTTACCCCTGGCCATACGTGCTGGATCTCAGTTCGCACAACTGTATCCACAGGGTCCTGGTTCCCATACCAGAACTGACGACTCCGATAGATCACACCACAGTTGGGACATTCAATAACATACCTGAACACACACACACACACACAACTCAGTCTTTGTGAAAATACATACAGGTTAGTGTGAAGATACATTTTAGATTTCAGGCCAGAGTCTAGAACAGCAGCTCTATAATTAGGCTCTGTAAAGTTAAGCCTACACAACTCTCATAACATTTGACCCTGCAGGTCATTCTCCAGCTACTCACCCAGACCAAGCGTATTTGGCGAGGCCCATCCATGGAGAGTCTGAGGAGGCTGAGGTCTTAGGGAATACAAGGACTTCCTTTCCACCTTCATAGCAAGCCTGAGGTGATGTGGCATAGAATGATTTTAATATTAGGCTCTATGTGGGCATTATAAATTGCATAGTCAATGACTGTGGTCCATCTTAGTGATGCAGGGGAGCTTCTGTTCTTACCTTACAGGTGTAAATGCGATTATCATATTGTGCAGAATAACGACAGCGATGCTTCGCCTCATGGTCCATTCCCTCTCCTAAGTGGTTCATGCTGTTTTTGCAGCCAGAACTATGGTAAAAAAATGATGTGTGAGCGTGAAAATAAGCAAGAAAATACTGATAAAAGTTCTAAAAAGACAAGTACTAACCCACAACTGAGGCACAGGCTGGAGCAGGTGAAGTATTCATCAGGAAAAAAGCAGCTGAGGGCCGTCAGCTCACCTACAATTTCCCCACTGAAGCGCTCACTCAGTGCCTGCAGGAGAGAACCAGAAGGTAATAACATAAAACTTGCAAAATTCAAGTTCCGCTTTTGATTTGCAACCACAAGCCAGGCTGACGCAAGATGGAGGTCGACTTTACACAGTCCTACCTGCAGGGCTTTGAAGATGACCACAGGGGTGCGTGGGGAGCGGGTGGCGTTGTTATCCAGGAGCTGCTCCAGTTTATTCTGCAGGCCACAGAAGTCGGTGGGGGGGTTGAGGGTCTGCGTGCCCCAGTACTGAACAGAACTGAAGGCCTCCGGAAAACGGGAAAGCTTTCTGAAGCGCTCCGACAGCAGCCGGTCTACAGACTCAGATGATTTATCTAAAAACAAAGGTGGAGAGTACATTACAATACATAGCAGATATTCTATCACCACAGGTCTATCAGTGCATCAGTTAAAACACATTTGTCAGAATATCGTGCTTCATGATACCCATTTTGATAGTTCCTGAATATCAAGTGTCAAGAATCTTGTGGAGTCGGTCAGACTGGAAAACCGAATAACTCATGAGCGCATAGATGGAGCTTGTTAGTTGTTATTTGTTGTGCCAGGTCTTTAAGGTTGACACCAGTGTCCCTTCAGGTATTAGCACATTTTGTGACAAAGTCTCAGCTGTAGAAACTGGACTAAAATGTGAAAAACTGGAATTGACTTTCACGTGGGTTACAACGGTTTTTAGAATGTGTCATTATTCAGTTTAGTCCAAGGAGTGTTTACACGTTTCAAAAGAAGTTGGAATTCCATCTGCTCCCTCCGGTGCAGAAGAAGACAGAAAGAGAAACACTACAGGCTGATATTTGTTAACTCTGTAATTAACCACAGTGTTAACCTGTATTTTTGCAAACCTCACTTCATGGGGATGCAATCACAATGCAGTGCTCTTGAAACTTTAAAGTTAAATTCTTTTAAAGTTTTGAATTTTTTAGATGTTTTACCTGAGCCAAGCAACTTAGTGTGAACTGTTTCGTGGAAGATAACCACCGCAGGGCCCAGGGTGGACAGCGGGACATCCAGGCCACAGCGGGCAGTCGTGGCCTTCAGCTCCTTTGTGAAATGCTTCAAGTAGGCATCCGAGGCGTCCCCGAGGAACTTGAAAAGGTCATCGTGGAGACGGTCGGTGTGGGTGCGATAAATGATGAGGTCGGAGATGGCGAGCACCTTGAGCAAGAGACGGGTTCTCTGGCCCTGTTTCGAACTGTTTCCAAGCAGACCCTCTGTATCAATGACCACGACTTTGTGGATGGGGTCAAACGCCGCCCACACGCCCACCGTACATGACTCCTGTGTGGGAGAGGTCTTGAAAACTTCTCTCCCCGCGAAGAACGTGTGGTTCAGGGTGTGAGACTTGCCCTCTCCTGTGTTACCAAAGATGGCCACCACTTTCAGAAGCTGGTCGGGTGCGCAGCTCAGGCTCTTCATGAAGGAAGCTTCATCTTTTATCTTTGGATGAACAAGATAGAATTTAGTGAATAAATACACTTTAATATACACAAAGATTTGAAATATTTGGTGTTGTGATAAAAACAGTTGTACAACTTACCTGCATTTCCTCATTCTCATCAACCAATAGAAAGCTGGAAACCTTCTCCAGGAGTCTGACCCTCTGAGATTTGATCTCGTCGGCTATTTGAACACTGGGCTGAACAGATGTTTGGACAGAAATTACCTCTGCAGGTTTGGGGGGTGGAGGATAAGACGTGAGCTGGTGTTTCTTCTTGTTGCCTCCACTGTGGGTGCGTTTCTGACAATCCTGGCACAGGTTGACTTTGCAATTCTGGCAGCGGACCACAGACCTGTGGCGTTTGCCATTGTCTCCATTACCTCCTTTGCAGTTGTCACAGTACGGGACATGCCCGGGGCCGATCTGAACCCTCTCGTGGCTCTTCAAACGCTCCTGACTGTGGAGCTCAAGCTCACAGCGAACACACTGCAGACTTTTGCACTCATCACACTCGAAGGCGGCCTCCTCAGAGCCACCACAGGCATAACTTTCTTGACATATTAGACTGGTGTTAACTCCTTTCTCTAAAGATGAGCCATGCCCACTCATCGTTTCCTACAAGGTAAACTTGAACACAGAGCAGTGCTTGTTGGAACAGCTTTGACAGAGTACCAGCTATTTCCAATTGCTATTATTGCAAAATGCACCACATATATTTAATACTGGCAACTGAAATTTCCAAAATACAAAAATCGACTTAAAACAGCTGCATGTTAACAGACCTGCTGACAGTAACAACAATATGTGCAATTTATAAAATCACTTTTAGCATCATGAATTTGAAAAACAGCTTTGATAATATAATGTAGTGCAACTATCATGAAGTAGGTTAAAAGGCGTAGGCGTCTCCCAAAGTTTCCAACAGATATCTTATTACAACTAACACTTAGCTTGTTAAAGTTAGCATTTCACTGCCTCGTTGGCTAAAACATCTCCGGGCTTCTCGAATGAAAGTATTAGAGTAAAACAGAAACCTGTGCAGACAGTCTGCACCGACCGAGACGATACACTCTCCCTGAAGAGATGAATGTGCAAATGTTGACGCTAACAACAACAGGCTAGCTAGCTAGTTCGCTAGCAAACTGACCCTCAGTAGCTAGCTAGCAAACTCGGTAAATAAAGTGGCATCCGCACAGGAAGACTTAGCTCACAGTTAGATGGTCCTGACGCACAGTTCAAGTTTTGTCACCCAGAGAGAGGCTGTTGTTACAGAGGCAGCGAGTCCTGACAGAGCGCAGCCGTCCAAACCAGCAGCTAGCCTCCTTGTCTAGTGTCAACTGAGCTGGAACAACACATCAACAAACACAGCACACGACGTCAAAGAGCTGCAAACACCCGAGGACTCTTCAGACCGGGAGCTGAATCCGCGAGGATCCGTTTGAAAGTCTTTATTCTTTTCAAAAGTGTCACTGTGTTTGGATCCGTCCGAGCAGTGTCATTGTTTTGTTCTTCAGCCCCCTCCCTGCCACAGCTCCTCTCGAGCTGCGTTATTTTGTTGCCAGGTCAGATCAGCTGATCAGATTATTTTCAGTCATAGGGTCAGAGGAGGGTAACGTGCTGTTGCATGACGGGAAACGTAGTCCTGCAAATGCTCCTGCTTGTTTTCCTGTGCAGCTGCAGACGTGTATTCTGAATTTTCCTGTTATATCATATTTTACGATCTGTTATTGTATTATATATTATATAAGTCTGGTGATTAGTCACTTTTTGTTACAGAAGCAAAGATGACATTAAAGAAAGATGAGTTAAGTTATCCTAAGTTAGAGTAATTTAAAAGATATGATTTTAAAGTACATCCATCTAGCAATTTATATAAACACATAGAAATAACAGAATCTATACAGTGTGACAGGATTGCATTTTTAAATTGAATTGCACAGATAAAAATAAGTAATGAAAGTCAAATCAACTTCAAAAGTTAAAATATTATATAATATAATGCGTATTTTATCCTGCACATAGTCAGTCACATATTCAGTGAAGATTATTTTATCCATTATCAATACTTCTTAATTTTCTTTATGTTTTTGTCAGGATTTTGTATTTCTCTATTGCAAAACTGTAAACATGGTGCCACAAAAAATATAAAATCACAATCCCCAAACCGTAATTACTGTAATTAAAAATCTATCTTTTATCATAGTTGTGCCTAAATAAGAAATTCCACGTGGGTGGGTGTTTTGAAAGTAATTGTTGGAAACATGCCTCAACATGAGCTTTCAATCAGAGGCCAGATTTAAGGGGCTTTTGTCTTGCAAACTAGGACTTCAAAGTAGCAGCAGGTGACCATTTGTCCCAAATCTCACTTTGTGTTTTCCCTCCATTTCCTCACTAACAGTATCCTCCACTGCAGGATCTACAGACAGACTGTTTTAGATCTACAGACACTTTTAAAACTCAGATTGAAAGAAAACAGAAACTGGAGAGGAAATAAATGTCACACTGTGGTGCATTTATTACAAGACTCACATACTCACACAAAAATATGAACAACAACAAAACACAAGAGTCGAGGGGAAAATAACACACTGATTATCACATTTCTTGCAGGAACTGAAGCATGGGTGTCAATGCAGGGCATAAGTCCTTTTTTTTAGTGCACAATCTACTTTTTGCAGAGAAATATCATAGTAAAAATGCATAGTTGTCATAATAGAAAAGACACTAAGTACATTCAATTCACTCTTTGATTCAGATGTATCCAAAGATTTTCCTCCAAACACAAAAAAGCTTTAAACGTTTAACCAGGCTGAGCTTTTTAGGTATAGTCCCAGTGTGCTTGTGCTGAATGGCGGCAGATACAGCACAGTCAAACACATGTTTGAGGTTGTGTTGTGTCAGAGCTGAACACTCAATGTAGTCGTGAGCTCTGATCCTTCGTGCCAGCCTTCTGGCCCGGCTGAAGTGCACTGGTTTGGTGCTCCGCTGGTGCAGATGAATAAGGACGTCCACATTGTGGCTGAGGTCGGATTGAGTTCCAACCAGGACTATGGGAGAGGTTGGGTTGCCAGCACGGATCTGCGGGATCCATTTGGAGGTGATGTTTTCGAAGGAGACGGGGTTGACCAGGCTGAAGCAAAGGATGAAGACGTCCACATGGGCGTAGCACAAAGAACGTAGATGTCCAAACTCCTCCTGGCAGATCAAATGATGAGAGAGGAGGATAAGTGGAGTAAAAACCTAAACATCAAATAAATCATGACGTGGAGTGGAACATGTACCTGTCCTGCTGTATCTATCAGTTTGATACGAGTTGGGATGCCGTTCACATGAACCAAACCTGGAGGTCAAGTGGAAATAAATATAAGAGGTATGACAAGTAGTAGCTGAAGGCCTTAATAGAAAATAACCTTTACTTACCAGTAAAAACATCAAAAGCCGTTTGCCTGTACTCGCTGTGGTATCCATTGAAGATGTAGCTGATGATCATGCTGGTCTTCCCCACAGCTCCATCACCGACCAGCATGCAGCTCAGCTCTTCCCTCAGCCTGTTGGGTTTATCACGTCTCTGACAGGCCTGCGCCATGTTTCCCCCGTTTTATTCCTCCATTACCCCAGCAGCTCCATGCAGCAGTGCACTGTTACTGTAAAAGATGTCTTCTACCCCCCAAGGGTCTGTTGGTGCCAATAAAGGCCAGAGGACACCTCGATTTGAAAGAACAAAGGCGTCCAATCAGATGAGGGATCCCCCCCCAACTCTGTGACTGTTTCCCTTTGATGCAGATTTACATTGTCACTCCCACCGAGAGGAGCTGACCACTGGCAGGGGTCAGCTCCTCTGATCTCACAAAGCACTTCGGTATCATGAAGGATACTGTGAATTTCTTCATAAGCCCAACATTCACAGCCTGCATTTACAGTATGAAAATGTATTCATGTAACTTTACATGAATAAGCCTTCATAAATGAGAGCTGAGTGTGTTTCTTCTTTTAAATATATCCTGCATTACGATTTTATACAAAGCAATACTTCCTCCTGGACCCCCAATAATATTATCTCATGAAGTAGAGCCCAGCTAAACAATCCTTTGGAATTTTCATTGTTTACAATATTGTTATTAATATATATAACAATATACTATTGGTACAACTATGGCCAAAATATCATACCAAGAAAAAATGTCACTTACATTTACATTTACATTTACATTTAGGGCATTTAGCAGACGCTTTTGTCCAAAGCAGCTTACAATAAGTACAGTCGTCACAAGATTGTCACTTGATTAACGGCAAAACACTTATCCAAGGTAGATCAAGTATGTGTTGTACCTCCTCACTGTGTTGACACAATGTTAGGGCATTATATCAGTTTGAATTTGAATTTTTCATGAAGCAGCAAGGAGACAAATCTGATGTTGCCTTTGTCATATTCACACATTTAACATAAATACATCCTTTATACCCTATATATTTCACTTTTGTTGTGTTTATATTGATGAAAATTTAATTGTGATAATTATTGATACTGTTTTATTGCCCAACACTATTTAGAACTGCACTGAATCAAATCGATAACATTTCTATGCAGTCCCGCAGTTGGCCAGTAGAGGAGAGTGTTGCTCCAGCATCTAATTTTGCAGGTTTGTTTCCACCTTGTGTTTCATCCAGTCTCTGCTCCAAGTTTCTTCTTGTGCACGTTTGAGGAGTGAAACAGGCAGGAAGTGTTCGAGAGGCCAAAGTTGGTCAGACACAAAGTTAATTTCCAGTTTTCTGGTTCATGCTCCATAAGCATCACATTTCATTAACTTAGTGTCACAGAAATGTTAGATTTTTCCGTACATGGTTTCCACGTGTTGAGCACATAAAGTGCAGCTTTACTCTCCTGGGTAAAAGGGCAAAGGGCACAGCTGAGGGGGGCATTGTTAGGCTGTCACCGGCCGATGTTTACAGGAGAAACTTCATGTGCCATGTTTCATCCTGTCGCTGTCAGGGTGACAGGGTTCATAAATACACAAACACTCATTTATCTGAGCAATTTCATATAATGTATTTGTATATAATGTATATATTATTGCCGTTTTTTTAATTTTTACATTGCATATTTACTTTTTTATTATGCTCTTCTAATAGTTTTGTTATTCCCCATTGTATGACTGTAAGGGTTATTTATCTTATCTAGTCTCAGCTCATATTTTATTTTACAGATGACACTGCAATGCCACTCTTAATACTCGCACTATAGAATAATAACTATAGAAATAAAGTTATGACAATTATAGCAAAATCAAAAGAAAAGTTTTGACCAAAGTGCCAGCACCTCATGTTGTACTTTAATGTCTCTTTTAATGAGACAGTTTCTGATGCACCTCCAGGATTCGTGTTTAGTGTGAATAAGTGTGCAAGGGATGATGCTGAAGGTGATAATTGTTTGTGATTGAGCCTTCACACCTTCATCACAGTACGTTTGGCTCTAATGAAGAGAGGGCCTTCATTGTGATATGGTCATGTATTTTCCTTTTATCAAACCATGGCCTACTTCTAATATGTTGAGACATCAAGAAGGAGTTTATTATTATTTGTTCAAATTCAATAACTCACAATGTCCCAGCTGTGGTGTAGAAGAATTGTTCGAGCATCTTAAGAAATGGTTTTGGAGAGTGGGAAACATTTGCTGGTGAAAAGTAGCTTTAAACAAAGTGTTGTTCCTTATCTGTCTGAGCCTGCAGGAAACTCTGCGAGCATTGTGTTGTAAGGTCTCTGCTTCCTGTTTGCCATTATTTCTCACTCACTCCTTCTCTTCTCCTCTTTCTCTCCCCTCCTTTTTTCCCACCACCTGCAGTGCGAGTGATAGAATTTATTCCCCATCGTAGGGGGGGACAACATCTGGTCCCCACCGCCCCACCCCACCCACAAACACACGTCGTGTTGCCAGCTCTGCTCCCATGCTGCACCTCTGACAGCTGTGAGTCACAATGCTGTTCCTTAATCCAAGGTAAATGTCAAACACAGGAAACTGTCTCTAAATATCTCAACACGCAGCGATTCTTTTCCTGCAACAGTTTCTTTTATCAGCAAAGATCAAGCAGCAAACTTCTCTTCTGTGATACAAATGCAAATACAGGCATTGTGCAAGTTGTCTGCATGTCCCTCAACTTGTGCAGCAGATGTCAGCACCACGACAACAACTTAAATTGTGGCTTGGTGCCTACAGTAGATCAGGATGTGTATCTCTTACTGTAAACATGTTTTGGGGCTGCATTCTCACGCTCTCCCTCTTTGCATGACTAGACATGCAGAAATGCATCCTGACATAGATTTATAGAGGTAATCTGCTTAGTAAGGGTCTCTCAATGTGTACAGATTAGTAAACCCAATGATGAACACAAAGAAATCCCCCCACTCATGTCAACTGACTCCTGCAAATTTATGCAAAGATGCACATGGTAAACTCAGATATCACAGCCCCCCCTGTGTCTCCCTGCAGCATTGCTCTGCTTGTTAAAAAGAAAATATGCAGTAGCGGTGAAGTTTCAGTCTCATGTCTAATCTGACAACAATAGACAAATCTGTCAGATAGGTGTTAAAAGATTATGCTCCTCCCTAAGCCAGAGATCAGCATGGCACGCTGCAGACAGGCCACAAAACAAGTGGCTGACGCAGAGATGAGGCGATAAACAATCCATTTGCATAACATTTCCTTCATAATGTCCATTTAAGTAGATACAGCAGAGGCTCTTAAATGGTGAGGATTAGTTTGGGGCGGCTGCTTCCATCACACTGAGACCCCACATAATGGAAACGCTCTCCCTCTCTTTTAGTTCCTAGATGTTACTTGAGAGTCATGGCAGGGACATGCTGGGTCACTTGGTGTTCATACGGTGAACTGAACATAATCTTTCTGACACTGTTTGGAACTGGGGGTCAAAGGTTCAGACCTGCTTGCCTGATTTTGACATAAAACATAGACAGAGATGGATTAACTTGAAGGCTTGTGTTCATCGATGCTGTTCTGTTGTTGCCCCTGGGGCACAGACTTGCATTCTTTATTGATGCACCATATGAAAACATTTTGTGCCGCAAAATATTATCCACAATTAAGTGTACAATATGTAACTTCAGCCACTAGTGGTCTCTCAATCAAAAAATACAAAAAAGGCCTAGTTTGATGATATTGTTAAGCAGAGTGGAATCATGGGAGTTGTTGTCTTCACCATCATTTCTCAACATAATCTTCTTGGGTTTATTTATTGGGAGAGCTTCAGCCACAAAGCTTGCAGCGATGAACAATCGTGATCCATTATGCAAGACCGATACAAACAGCAGAAGGAGAAATAAGCTGCTGGCTAACTGGCTAGCAGTGGCTAGTGGCTAACTGGCTTTTTCCTTTGTCATATGTCGTTTGAAATTTGTGTTTCAAGTCTGTTAATTTCTTTAGCAGAGACGGGCAAAATCACGGGTGAAGCAGATATGATGAAAGTAAATATCGACGCTTAATAAAATTTGGGATTTCTGTGAGTTTGAACATTGTTGGAAACATTTTGGATAATGAAAGTACACAACTCAACATAATGAAAAACATAGGTGTTGTTAACAATTCACATTACAGACACATTGCAGTATGGACAGCAATGGCAGTGGATCTGAGGCTGTAGCAGTTAGATAGTTTCATCTGTTAAGCTTTTTCAGTCTGGGACTCGATTCCTATTCACCCTCATGATACTCACATTACCCAGAGAACTAGCTTGTGCTGTGGGATTTTGCCATGAGAGCGTCATACCATGTAGCTCTCCAATTTATTAGTGCCAGGATACAGCCTCTTCCCGGGTCAACTCGAATTCTAGCACCTAATGGTCACTGCACCAAGTGATTCATGGGAATTCAGATCTGTGGCGCCCCCCCTCCTCTGCCCTACCTCTTATCGGACCCCTGTTGTTCACATTCTTGACTTGTGGCCAGCGCTTATTGCAGGAAAGCATAAACTCCGACTGTGAATACATTGTGACTGTGTGAATCAGGATATGCTTCCTTGCCTTTTTTTTGTTGGATCAGTGCATTTGCAGTTAATCTGAATTAATTTCATAACCGGTATAGAATCATTTGGATCTGAAACAGCTTAGGGTAAATCAGCCTGTCCCAGTTTTTAAGTAAAGCCTGAGTGTTTTGGGTCTTTGTTAGCCATCAAGCATCTCTGTCAATTTAGTTACTACTGCTCCATTAAACCCTGGCAGGGGTCCAGGAGCGGCGCACTAATCTCCCTATACCCTCCGAAGAGCATCGCAGGGGGTCAGTCCTCCTCCGGTCTTGTGGGATCCACGGTACCAAAACCGTCGGACAAGAACACTTCAGTTGATCTGCTTGGTGTTGAGCAATAAACCTTTGAATTAAAAAAAATGGTCTGATTTAACCATAGATTTACTGCACGTTTAACAATCCTTAATATGTTTTTTCTCTTTCTGCTTCTTTCTATGATCAAGTAGCACCTTATTGTCAGTGTCATTTTTTGTTGTTATTGGTGATGTGCACCAAACAGAATTTAGCTGTATCAAATTGAAATTGTACAAAATGTGTTGTGGGTTTTTTGCATTATAGTGATACAAATGATAGCTCTACACAAATATGAAGCCAAAATATCTGGGGCTATGGCTCCTCTCAT